TAAATCTGAAGATATATATATATATATATATATATATATATATATATATATATAGAGAGAGAGAGAGAGAGAGAGAGAGTAGGCAGAGTCAAGGAGATGCTATGTAGCCACTACCAGGGACAGACAAGTTGAAACCTTGCCGGTAAGCCACATCTACATGGAAATACACAGATTAATAGAAATTGGTTAAATTCAGATGTAAGAGCTAGCCAACAAGAAACTAGAGCTAATAGGCCAAGCAGTGATTCAATTAATACTGTTTCTATGTGGTTATTTCAAGTCTGGGCAACCAGTCACAAACAAGTGATCTCCCTACAACAGCTCAGTGTGGATTATATCTCTTTGAGAAGAATAACCCTACCAACTATCTTTAAAGAAGTAACCCCTAACTAAAATGATAATAAATTTATCAAGCCAGGTGTAATGGGTTATACCTGCAACTATAAGATTCAAGAGGCAGAGAATAAGGATCTTGAGAGCCCACCCTGGACTACATAGTGAGTCTATTTAAAAACAACAACATCAAAATCCTTAAATAATATTCTTCATATTATATACTGTAATTAATAATTGTAGTTTAGTTGATTTTCCCTTTAGTTCATGCCTACGCTAAACCAGACTGGAAAGTCTATTAATGGAGAAGTCATTAATCTTGTGTGCCACTAAGCATGCTGGATTAGATCAATGCTAGTTTCACAGATGCTCAGAAACCTTCTGACATGGCTGTCGGGGGCCATACAAGGGGACCAACAGGCAGAATTGGAATTCATGGAACATGGCTGGGTGGATGGCAAAACACACCTGGATGACCCTTGGAGAGGCAAGGCATGAGGACTACGTGTCCTGAGGACCTCGTGCTGTTATTGAGCATAGCTCTGATTCTTGCCTTCATGGTCACCACATCCCTCATAATCTATGGGTTGTTTGAAAACTCTCAAGGGGTTTCTAGACCCTCACTGGGCAGTGTTACTAGGACTTACAATAATAGTGATTGACTTTTTCAAGCATTCTTGCTTGAGTAGATTAACGATTCAATCACCACCCTTAGAAAGAATTAAGACATATAGATTGTTAGGAAGGCTAGGTTAATGTTTTTATTAATGACTTTATGGTATAAAATTTTGGGGGAACAATTTTATAAAGACATACTTTTAATAGTTGAACAAGGGACTCATTAAGGTCACGGAAGAGGAACAATGGCAGCCTGGCTCTTGTTGGCTGACATACCTTTCTTGCTAGGATGGATTGCTGATCAAAGGTGATGATTAATTCTTTGCGCCCATTTCAGACCTCAGCTTCCTGTTATAAAAACTATTGATGGTGGGTATACACCCTGAGGATTGATTGAGGAGCTAACAGATTGGTTTTTATATATAAAAGTTTATAATTTTTTTAAGATCTCTAATAAAATTATCTTTTGAGATAAATAACCAAAGTAAGTGATCCTTTCTTTGTAACCACAAAATGCAGGTTGCCAGATAAAGAACTGGCAGAGGAAAAATACCTTGCTTGCTTAGATTCTGTTAATCTACAAGTTGCTTGGGTTCTTGGGACAATTTAGTTTTCACCTATAATATGTAAATATTTAATCATGCAAGCAATGAGGAAAATATGCTGCTTTTTATTTATATTCATTGTAATCATTCACTTGAAAATAAAGTGTAGACACATTGTAAATTTTATGTTGCTTGAAAGATTTTCCTGCGGTATATAAGCTTCCAAGAATAAAAATAAAGTTAGTTAGAAGGAAATGATCAAGAGAGACAGAAAGGTTACATCTGGATAGAGGTAGGAAAAAAAGAGCAGGCAAGAAAGATGATAAAAAGACCTGAAACGTGTGTGTGTGTTACCTCTTTTGTCAGTCCCAGAAAGTTTAGTTTTGCCCCTCTTGACCCAGAGAATTAAGTTTTACTCCTGCAGATAGAAAAGTCACATAGAGTGATTCATTTGGGGACTCTGTGGATCCCCCCAATCCCTGAGCTGATGAAGGCTCGTCACTACTGCAGCAGTATCTGGTGTTCAAACAGGAACCTGGGAACATAATTTTTGAAATTGCCCTGAATGAGGCAATTCTCTGGTGTTCAGTATAGATAGGTTCTTACTAAAAAGGGTCCGGAACTCCTTGGTCATTGCAAGCCAGAAGAAGAGGGCTGAATAATCCAGTTGATTTTCATGCCTTCTCCTCAAGATGGGACAAGGGGAGTCGAAGGAAAGATGGTTCCTTACTATTTCTAAACACACAGAGCTGTGCTCTGGAGCCCTTTGCCCCTCTCCTCATGAGGGAGCACCCTTGTTATCTCATTCAAGAGCTAGGAAGGGAGCAGCAGAGCATCAGTGTCCTTACTGTCCTCCCCTGCAACCCTTGATGGTAATTAACTCCACAGGAACCCCCCCCCCCACCAGGAAGGTAAAAGGGGCTGGTGGAATTTGCTGCCGCCACCACCTTAAGTCAGGCCCACTCGCAGAGTGATTAACTGGGGGGAAAAAAAGAGAGAGTTAACTTGCAAAATGCTCCTGGGTATGGAGAAATAGCTTGGAGTAAGCTGCTCAACTTAAACTAACAAAGAAAGCCTTGCTGACAGAGTCTGCCCTGCTATATCCGGCCCCTAACTAAATGGGAAATTCCAAGTAGTGGTTCCCTGACCTCTGCCTTAGTCCCAGCACTCTGGAGAGTTCTATTTGCTCATCTCTGCATCTGTTTCCCCTTCTTCATGCTTTAGCCAACTGTCTCTCCACTCTTTCTGGGTAAGTGTCACCATGGACTGTCCTGCTTTGCTTGCTTGCTTGCTTGCTTGCTTGCTTGCTTGCTTGCTTGCTTGTGTTTTAAATGAAAGTCAGCGTGCCAGGAACCTTTATCTAGCCCGCCAGGCCAGGTCACACGGAGAGGGAAGTCTTTTCTCAGTGATTTGGGACATTTCTATCTGACAAGTCTTTCAGTCTGTTTAGAGTCCGTTCAATCCCGGATTGAAACTCTTGCTACCAAGACCCTTACCCTCTCTGCTTCCTCAGAATTTCTCTCAACCCCCTACTGTAACTTTTTTGCCTCCCCTTAAGAGCTGCCTGCATTCTCCAACTCTCATTAACCCTGAAAATCTTTCTAAGGTTGGTGGTTGGCCAACAGCTATTATACCCACACATCCTCCTGTATTCACTCTCCAGGCAAATCAAAACAGGGTCTCAGAACAGTCTCACTGGGTCCGTTATGGTATTCTTATTCTGATTGATGATTTCATACCCTTGTAAGAATCAAGGGGCTCACACATGGATGTCTAAGAGAGCAGCATAGGGCTATTTCACACAGGCCACTCTCCAGTTCTCTGGTAAGCATCACTTTACTGAATTTACTGCGGGTTATCTCACATTATGTTTACCTCCAGCATCCTTCCTGAGCTGGCAGAGAAAGATGCATTATTAGTAAGAACACACACCGATGATGATGACCCCACAGAAGAGGAATACTCTCTCTGCTGTATCAGCTACGTTCCGGAAACATATCAGATGGTGAAAGTTCATTCTTGACATATTCCCTGAGGCTCCCTTTGGTTAATTCCTTTGCAAAAAGATCTAAATTAATGCCTTTGGAATTTATCTTCTATTGGTAGCTGCTATAAAGAATCACAAATGATCAGCCTGAAGAAGTCTATAAGAAAAAGAATTACTTTGGTATGCTCAAATGACCCTACATTTAATCTAGACAACAAAAATTAATGACTTGCTCCCTCCCAGTTGGGGAGCTATTGGCAGAGGATGGCTGCTTGGGACGGAAGAATCATATTTCTTTAAGAGTGTGGCCACTGGTAAGTTATCTTTGTCCTGGAAGATGACAAGATGACCTTATATACACACACATGGGCAGCACTAACTGGACTCAGTGGGTTAAAATTTCCTCTATCTATCTATCTATCTATCTATCTATCTATCTATCTATCCATCCATCCTATTATCTATCTATCTATCGATCGATCGATCTATCTATCATCTATCTATCCATCCATCCTATTACCTATCTATCCATCCTATTATCTATCTATCTATCTATCTATCTATCTATCTATCTATCTATCATCTATCTATCCATCCATCCTATTATCTATCTATCCATCCTATTATCTATCTATCTATCCATCCTATTATCTATCTATCTATCTATCTATCTATCTATCTATCAATCATCTATCCATTCTATTATCTATCATCTATCTATCTATCTATCTATCTATCTATCTATCTATCTATCTATCTATCATCTATCCATCCTATTATCTATCATCTATCTATCTATCTATCTATCTATCTATCTATCTATCTATCTATCATCTATCTATCTATCATCTATCTATCTATCATCTATCTATCTATCTATCTATCTATCTATCTATCTATCTATCTATCATCTATCTATCTATCATCTATCTATCTATCATCTATCTATCTATCTATCCATCCATCCATCCATCTTATTATCTATCTATCCATCCTATTGTCTGTCTATCTATCTATCTATCTATCTATCTATCTATCTATCCATCCTATTATCTATCTATCTATCTATCTATCTATCTATCTATCGATCGATCGATCTATTCTCTGTCTATCTATCTATCCTATCATCTATCATCTATCTATCATCTATCCATCTATATATCTATTTATCATCTATCTACATCATCATTATCATATATCTATCATACAGCCATCTATCTATCATCTATACATTTTAATAATTATTGATGATCCCCTAGTATAGAATCACCATAGCTGTATTTTGACTCTGGGGGTTGTGTTTGATGCTCCCCTAAAAAGAATGACCATGAAAGCCCACTCTGCCAGAAAAACTAGACTAACTTTTCATCAATATAAAACATGGTCTAACAAAAGTGAGATCTAGTCTCCTCGATTTATTATTTGTACTATCCTTTTGCTATTTTCATTAAAGTTTAAATGTCACTACATGGATAAAAATAAAAATTATGTATAATGGGGAGGAAAAGACAGAAACATAAAAATAAAACCATATTTATTTCAACAAAAATATACATACAGTGCACAATGAATATGATTTACACAAAATAAGATGAATGATATATTTCTTCAAATGCAAATATAAGATGATCTAGCTATCTGAGGTTCATTTCCTGGGAATATGAATAATTGGTTCATCTAGGATATATATTTAATATAAAAAGAAAGGTCAACCTTTCAAATGAATAACACAAGAATCTGCAAATGAATTAAAAGACAAAATGTTCACAGAAGAAAATACATGCACAAGGGGTGGCATATGCAGATCCATGACAGTTCTGCATTTTGAAAAGCAGGCTCTTCACAGATAGGTTATGATGTTGATGGTGACATAAATAATTTCAATAACTATAGAGATACTATAGACATACTGGCCATATAGTCTAGAGCCTACTGATGAACACCGCCATCACAAAAGACATTCTGCTACACTGTGCCCTTTCATTACAGGGAAATAATTTAAAATGTCTGTAGAAATTCTTCCTATGCAGAATGGTATGTACCTTCATCTTTAAATACTTCTGTTACTGAGAGACAGAGTATACTGCTGTGTACCTACAGCACACAGCTTAGAGAGAAGCAGTTTTTACAAGTTGCAAATTTACACTAATGTCTGTGCTCTTTAGAACTAAAGTCTGAACTTCTTTTTTTAAAATACGTATGCCTGAGTAAAAATCCAAGTTCAAGAAGAGCAATTGGATTCACCATTCGAGGGATTTGTATTATCTTGTATGTGCCCCTTTCTCTAGTTAAGCATCGTCTCGTCCTCGTCAATCAGATGCATAATTGATGTATTTTATAGTCTTAGAAATAAAACTCAAAGAGAAATTAACATGTCCCATTGCTCAGAAAGACAGAGTGAAAATTTCTGTTCCTTAAATCAATATTAATGGGAAGACTGTATTTTATCTAAAATGTTGATTTTTATCTTTCTATTTTTAAAGAGGGTGTATGCTATAGTTTGCATCTTTGTGTGGAAAGATGCAAAGAAAAAACATCTAATTTCAAGTTGTCAGAGAAATAAAAGATAATCTATACAAGGACATTTTACTTAAAAAGTTAATACCAAAAATACAGGTCATAGCTTACACAGATTGGAAGTGGGATAGATGAATATAAATTTATGTTAAACCTTTCAATCAATTGTGCAAGCTCTTAGCAAATTGAATATTTTTTTTCAGCTGTGAGTAGAGTACATTGTTATAGCAGGGATGTTTTGTGCCCACTCTACCTGCTTCCCTCCACCCTGCTGGTCGGAGTCTCAAACAAGGTTCTGAAATGTGTGTTAAAAAGAGAAAGCCTGCCTCAAACCTTCCCCAAAGTTAATTTAGTTCATAAAAGATTACAAATTGTGTCCCTCTTATTGAACTAGAATATTATGTCACTTGAAAATCAGATTCACATATCTGGGTTCTGTCAGCATATTGTCAGTGTTTACTTTACCTAATCGGTCGAGGTTTCAACTGTGATCAACTTAGTAAACATTGAATATAGTGATACGATTTTGCTTTCCTGTCAGCAATGCCATAATCATACACTTAGAAATTGAGATGAAGTGTACTGTGGTTATATTATAATTAACTCTCCATTTCCTGACTTCAGTCCTGACATACTAGTTACAATAAGGCCACCTGCAGTACACTACTGATAGTTTTTAAACTATTCCTCTAATATAATAACTGATTATAAAACAATATGTTTCCACTTTAGTGTAAAGACATGCCTGTTTCCTTAAAGTTGAAAACATCAATCATAAAATTATAATAATCTGATTGCAGATTACTTTAATGTAAAACCATCCTAATAATTGTAACCTCCCTTCAATAATCTGATATTTTCTGAGAAACTGTCCTAGTGACTCAGAGCCATGCACTAGTTGGTAACTGCTTAACCACTGGTGTTTCAGGATGTAAATATCCTAGTCTGTAGCATTTGCCAGTTCCTGTGGTGTAAATGTTCCCGCACTGGCTGATTTCCAGATACCAACACTGCGTTCTTAAATGTGGATTCAGGAGATTCACAGGTGCGTGTTATCAATACAGCATTTACACCACACAGAACCATCAGAGCCAACTACACTTAGAAGCGGGATAAACTGCAGAATTTGATTTTTAAAAATCTAGGAAGCTCTAAGCTTTGATTGTCATCTTTACTTTCAATAAATTCATTTGATGACTTATGGATAGCTATGCCACTGTGCAGCAACCAGTTTGTACTATTCCTGAAGACTCAACGACCACTTCTCATGCATCCGTTAGTGCCAGTTTGGGCACCACCCGGAGAACGTCTCTTGCAGAGTATCTCTGCGGGGGGGGGGGGGGAGATTTTATCTGATTAGAAAAAAAAATCACGTTTCCTCCCTTTTGCCATTCTGAATTCTACTTTACAAAAACCACTTAACATGTGGAAGGGGGTGTGTGCCATGCAGTCAGTGGCAGCCTTTAAGTCTTCCTGTCTGTAGGAAGCAGCAGCATCATGAGTAACTAGTGGCACATGGAGAATCGCCCTGATGTGGAGTGGGCAGATTTTACATCATTCATCAGCCACCTCATGCAGTCACCAGGGCCCTGCTGGCTTACCAGACTGACCACAGTGTTAGGAAAAGCGGTGTGTGGGTGAACTCACGGTAATATGTAGGAGGAAAAACTGTGTGGGAATTTAGTGAACTGGTACACACAAAATAACCCCGGTTCAGTCAGATGGTTCGAGGGTATATTTAGCTGTCTGGAAGACAGATGCAGAGTTAGACTTTTGGTTAACAATCATGGCTTTGGTTTTTGTGCTTTTAACATGTTTCTCCCAGGGTTCTGTAAATAGTTAACCCAGAATTGATACCTGCATTTGATGAGAGTAGGAGAAAATCTTATTTCTGAGAAAGAAGACTGCGTTGTTTAGAAATGTCATTTTCTTGATAAATGGTTTGACTCAGTGTGCTTTCCCTAGACATGCGGGCGGTGCAGCTTTTCAGGGAAAATACGGGGAGAACAGTATGGCAGAGCTGAGAGAACTCCATGACCGCAACTGCATTTGTACAAGGGAGTTTCTAAAATATCTCATTTATGGTTTGATTCAGAAAGCCATGAAGTGGTTGTCTCAGTGCATTTGGAGAAGCGCAGTCATGTTTAGGAAATAAGAAAAGATGCATAAGATTCCCAATGAAAATGATGGCGATGCTGTCAACGAATAAACGTTCATTTGCAGGTACAGTATAGTCAGGTCCACCTTTGAGATTTCTGGATTAGCATTTGTTGACAAAGAAAAATATGTCTTATGAAATGTCATACAAAACTGGAAAACCTTACTATTGGCTTTCCAGTTAATAAATATTTAGCATATTTTAGTTAAGATGGTTAATTTATAAAAATATATAAACAATTATTGTTTATAAAACATTTCTGAGCTAAAAACATCACATGAGATGTCCTGGGATGAATATCAACACTTAAAATACTAAAAACAGCTCAGAGCTAGACAAACCTCTGTCATCACGACTGTCTTAAACTCAACACAGTAATGAGAATAGCCACAAATCCTACCACCTAGCTAAAAAAATCAAACAATTAAAAGATTACATTAAATCACTGAAATGGAGACTAGCTCTCAGAACATTAGATAATTATTTCCATATTTAGATGCATTTTCTCCATTTTTAAAGGCTACAAATAGTTTGGTAACTGCTTTGGCAAAAGCCATAGGCCATTAGCCAAAGTAAGAAATGGATAATTCCATGTAGAAGCCTCAGGGGGTTATCATCTATTCTCAGACTTTTGAAATACTCAACACAGGACTGGAGATCTATCTCATAAACCTGCACAGGAAGCATCTTAGGCAAACAGCTATTGTGTCACCTGTGAAGACATAAAGTACAACTTTGGATGAAGTGACAAAATTCATTGTGTGTTGGAAATCTCTGGTGGCCTCAGAGGAGACACAGGCTTGCACAGTACTTCCCACTGGTGAGAACGCGAAGAATACAGACTTTCTTTCAGATCGCTTTACTCTAAGTGTGCATTCCAGTGATAAATCCTAATTTCCATTTGACTCTCTCTGTGACGGTTCATGCATAGCTAGTGTAGTGATCTGCAGAAGGCGGGAGTGGAGGGTTAGGAAATTTCAAAGAGACAGATATAAGGGTGGCTGTAATTGCTCTTCTGAAGTCATATAACTGAGCAACATGCCTTGATTTGCTAATTTTTTTGAATGGTGATCTTATTCAATGTGGTTGGTCTCTAAGGAAACCAGTAATTTGGAATGTTAGCAATTTTACATATAGGGGTATTTTACCATAAGGACTGATCTGAAATCCCAATTAACTGAAAATTACTGTGTAAATTTATCACTGTTTATGACTCAAGTATGTTACAGGGTTCTCCACTCCACATATATTGACCTATGGTAGACTGCAAACTCACACACTAAGAGCACTGTCATGGAACATCTCATACATATTTCTCTCACATCTCTGGATTTCCCCAAATGAAATTCAAGCTGCTGAGGATCTTTATTTGGGCACCAGCAGACACTATTCTTAAATTCTTTGCACTTTTAGTTCCTTAAAGTTTCTGAATTAAACTCAACCAGGAAGAGTTAACACGAAAGAGAACAGATGGACATAGTGGTGCTAGGTCGCTTTCTGAGTGAGTGGCTTGGATATGAACAACACCCATAAGTACCTCGCTCCAAGAATTCATAACAATAAAAAAAAAAAAACAAATAAGGCAGAGGTGTAGATCTTCCAACCGCAATATATCTGTGTTCCTGTTTGTTTCCATGCTGGGAGAGTTAGGTGTCAGCTTTTCCGTAAGTGCCTTCTGGAGGTCGGTAGCACTTGGGGAAAGCCAGCAGCTGGAGCATGTTGAAAGCATACCTTCTGCATTTGATATTCTTCAGTACGTTCTCTATGCGGCATCCTTCTCTGGTGAAAGGGCAGAAAGTACAACTTCATGAAACAGAGAATAAAGAAATATGCTTTATTTGGTCAATGCAGAGTTGCAGCAACAGTCCAAGTAAAAATAACAAAGATTCAACTCTACATTTTTTTTCCCCACAAGTGATGATACATCTTACAAAATTAAATCCTAGGCCAGGCCCAATACCATTATTGCCTTCGGAAAGATAGGATTAAGTTTCTTAACAGATATGTAACTTTTGATAAACTCTTTAAATATAATTTGCTTCACAATACAGCTATGCTTTAATTTCATAAATATATCTGCCTTTGTATAACTTTTCCACAAATTAACTATCCCTTAAAACACATTAAAGTCTACATGTAGCCCTAAGGATGCAGCTCTAGGAATAAGGCATTTAATTTATTAAGTCTGGCCCTATAGATTTTTAAAAGGAAGTTCGTTCCTATTCGACTTGGTCACTTTAGCTATGCGGTGAAGAGAGCATATGGCTTTCTCAGCAGCCTGCTCCAAACGTCAGTGTCATGAAGGAGGAGCGCGCCTCAACCACAGTACAAAAGTCACAGGTGCAGAAAAAATGGCGCATCAAGACACAAATGAGTCCTTGTTAAAAAGAATAGAAAAGTAGTCTGAAAGCCAAATTAACACAAACAATAGTTAGAAATAGGTTAATTTAATTACAAAACATAAATAGCCATTCTTTCCATAAAGTTACTTGACACAAGAAGATTAAAAGCAGCGATGACTAAGAGACAGGAGGGCAGAGTCGGAAAGGGGACACACGTCTATCAGCTGATGGCAACTATGTTATTAGCACAGTGGAAAGAGAGTCTGGAACCTCCTGCCCCCCCCAGATTGTCTCAGGGTTTTACTGTTGCACAATGTCAGTCCTAATTTCTTCAATAAATGACGGGGGAAGGGGAGGTTCAGATCTTCAAGCTTTCAGGATGCTATTCTTTGTCTTGTTCCAAAGAGAGTAATTTTAAAATGCGTCTTTAGCTACTTAGCAGTGGGAAAACACTTTTCCGTGAACAAAAGAGCAAAATAATTCACTTAATGCATGGCACTTCTTGCCTTCATTAGGAAAAACAAAACCACAATTTAAACATTTTCTTTGATCGCCTTTTTTTTTTAAATTCTGTGAATCTGAAAGTGTAGAAATATTACAACATTGTACCCAGAATTAAAGTCCATTGTCGTTTGTAGAAAAGGAAGGAACACAGCATAAAATTTACTGGTATTTGGCTAAGAGTAACGCGAGACTTAGAATGAGCCACACAACGAGCAGGTGGGAGCTGACGAGGAGGAGGGCGACGGGGTAGAAGTGTCGAGACGTCGGCTTGTCGTCAGTTAGACGGCCCGTCTCAGGGTCATCAGACTCGCTCAGCGCTCCCTGGGTCTGGCTGCTGTTGACAGGGAGGACGAGAGCAGAGGAGAAAACAGAAGAGAGTTTGCAGAGCAGCAAGTATAGCCATCTAAAACACGCCCACCAGCCTACGCAACACATCTGCATCCGAAAGTTTTGTGCTAAGCAGCCCCCTGTGCATCTGTGTTCTTTTCTCTGTATTACATGAGCGAACATTGTTAAAGACGATATTCCCTTTGATTGACTGGAGGAAAAAAAACCATAGTGGTGATGCTTATAGAAGTTAGAGCTACATGCAGAAGGAAGAATTGGGTGGGCATAATGGCACCACTAAACAAGACAATAAGAATAAAATGAAATGACGGGACAGGTCATATAAAATGATCTGATAAATGCATCACTGGGAAATGCAAGCATGACGGAATGGAACACAGGATCGGGGAGACGAGGGGACGTGGTTGGCACAGTAAGTCTGCCTTGTCTGGTGTGGTATCTGGGTAATGTAATTAAAGCTGTGAAGTGATTTCTTGACATGGTTCGGTCTTTGAAAGGAATGAGGCACCTGACATGTCATCTTTGCCAGCCATGTTATTAGTTTATGAAAATACCACTCAGAGACCTTCGTTAGCTCAGCCTGTACATCATTTTGTCTTCAGCTCGTCTACTTACAGGGCCAAAGCTATTGCCACACCCTGTTTTCTGAAAACAGAGGAGACAAAAGATTTAATTTCTCAGATCAGGTAGGGCCTGTGCAAGAGAAGAATATTTCACTTAAAGGAAGTTCTAGTCACGACAAATTTAAGATACATCATCCAAATCCCAATCCCAGTCAATGGGTAGGAAGCGGTTGCCTCTCGGCTCCTCCTGTATGTGGTCACACTCACAGGTTGTCATCTGAGAGTGGACTTTACTTAGGCTGCACAGCTGTGCCCCTTCTAAGCACGTGCGTTCCCTGAGAACTGCGTATGCGGATTTCTGCCCAGGTTCTGACACCACCTGTTGGTCACGGATACCAGAAGAAGGCGCTGGATCTCTGGAACTGGAGTTACAGCATTAGAAAGTGACCATGTGGGTTCTGGAAACTGAACCCAGATCCTCTGGATGAGCAGAACTTCTTCACCTCAGAAGCAACTCTCTAGCCCAAATTTTAATTTTTAAAGATTTATCTCCTTTATTTTATGTCCATTGTTGTTTGCTTGCGTGTGTGTATAGGTGTCCTGTGCCAGCCTGGAGCTCGGTGAGGCCTAACTGCACTTGCAGATGGCTGGAAGGCACCATGCGAACACTGGGCACAGAAACCAGGTCTCCGGAAAGAGCAGCAAATGCTCTTTTTATAGTTACATATTTAAAATTACAAGGTAATTATATCATTTCTCCCTTTCCCTTTGCTCCAGCCAACCCACCCCGTGCTCTTTCCTTCCTGTCCTCTCTCAAGTTTGTGGTGTCTATTACTTTGTTGTTATACACACATATTTTTAGGTATAGATTCCTAAATTATAGAAATGCTTTGCTCAGACTCTAGAATGTGAGAGAACGCTCTTGGGACTACCCCCAGGGAAAGAACTACAGGCACACAGAGGATGATGGAAATAGTGTTCCTCAGGGAAGCGCACACCAAATGATCCAACAGCAAGTGGTCATCCCTGAGATCACACAGACCATGCAAACTCCTAGCTGCTGAGCTGTTGAGATCTGGACCAGTCCAGGATGTTCTCAGAGATCCTGATGAAAGGACACAAAGGATGTAGTTCCGTGTCCTTGCTCAGCCTGAATCTGGCAAGGCCAGTCTGGGGCTGGGACTGGAGCAGGAAAGGAGTTAAGGGTTCAGTTCGTGGGAAGCTGACTTTTCCTCCTGAAGAGACTGGAGTTATCAGTCCCATGACCGCTGTGTGCTCAGTCTGTAATGCCCTGGAGATAACTTGTGTTCCCTTTGCTCCATTAGCCTGCCACTGACTCTGTCCCATTTCTCTCCTGGAAACAGTATATTAGGTGTCGTACATCTTAATACATTTGCTTGATATAAGACATAGCTTGAGCCAGAGCTCCAGACTCCAGACCTTATCTTCTCTGTCTTCTATTGCCTTATCTTCTGACCTCCTGTTCCTCTCTCTAAGGGGGATGACCTGTGGTCCAGGTCAAAATGGCACCCAAACAGAGACACCTGACTACAGGGGAAGGAGTTGGTGCTGCCGTGGATATATCAATAAATATAAGAAGTCAGCCTGAAGGAGGAGCTGAAACATCAGAGTAAAACATGGGATAGCAGAATTCTTTCCCTCTCTCTCTTTAAAAATATTTATTTATTTATTTATTTATTTATTTATTTATTTATTTATTTATGTGTTCTGTCTGCATGTTTGCCTGTGCACCAGAAGAGGGCACCAGATCTTACTATAAGTGGTTGTGAGGACTTGAACTCAGGACATCTGGAAGAACAGCCAGTGTTCTTAAGCTCTGAGCCATCTCCACAGTCCTGGGGTGGTAGAATTCTTGCGGACACAGTTTTTCCTTTAGGTCAGCATTTCTCAACCGATGGGTCATGTCCCCTGTAGGAGTTGAATAACCTTTCCATAGGAAAACACAGATATTGACACTAAGATTCAGAACAGTAGAAAATTACAGTTATGAAGTAGCAACATACATAATGTTGTAATTGGGGTCACCCCAACATGAGCACTGTGGTAAAGGGCCACAGATTCAGCAAGGCTGAGATGTGCTGGTTTAAATACTTCTTTTGCTTCCGCAGTCTCTCTTGGGTTTGTAACATATTGCTATGGCTCTTAGAGGGGTCCTTTGCCGTTCAACCTAAAACTCTGCCCTTGGGTCCCTGAAGATGGCCCTATAAACTTACGGACATGGAAATGTGTAGGTAGGTAGAGGTTTAAAGACAGACTATCACCTACAAAGGCCACATGAGTTTCATATTAATGAGTTTGCATGGTAGAATTTGATTGGTGATTGTTTAGACTCACAACAAAAAGTTGATTTAATTATAATTCAAAATTCTTGTAAATCTGGTCACTCTACCCCCAAACAGACTGCCAGACGTGAGATACTGGGGAAGAGGATGTAAAAAAAAAAATAGAGATAAAAGGCCCTGTGGATGAGAAACCCGGGTCAGTGCTGAATTACGTTCTTTTCATGATGCCGCAGAGGAGAGACAATTTCCTTTTCGGATGATACAGTTTTAAAATCGCCTGAAATGGCTCTATCTCATTCAGCTGAGATGAGTTCCCCTCCTCCCTTATTATACAGGATTATTGGGTCTTCTATTAAAGCCTTCCACTTTTCATTTGGGGAAGCTGCAGGAGCCTGAGCCCCCTGATATTTGGGGCAAAAACACCTGTTTGATGTTTCCAGATTTTGCCCACTAGAGCAGGGCATTTTACCGCAGAGAGAAGGAGGAGAGAGAGCGAAACACAGTGGCAGAGGCTGAGCAGAATGGGAGCCTGCTCCTGTAGCAGCACAGTGCCGGGATCCTTGGCAAAGTGGCCACCTCCCATGGTTCCCTGGGAGACCTGCCTCCCCACAGCAGACCTGCAAGGGGCAGTTAGGTGCAATTGGTCCTTCGTTTCTCATATGAGGCCCTACACTGCTCTCTTCGACGGTAGTGGGAATCCTCAACAATTCTTTGTTGTTGGTGGCTCAATGCAGATCTGTCCT